CAACAACAACAGCAACAACAACAACAACAACAACAGCAACAACAACAACAACAACAACAACAACAACAACAGCAACAACAACAACAGCAACAACAACAACAGCACATTTATGTATACCTATTTGTCAGATTATTCTACAACTTCATCACAATCTCTTAATCACATAATCGCAACCCTACATAGAGTCACAACAACGCCAAGACAACATCACACCAATACGCCATCACATCAAAACGTCACCATGACGTCATCGTACCGTCTTCCTGACATCATGTCATGAAAACGTTATCACATTATGACGGCACAATGATACGTACGTATTGTTACATTGCGCCACTATCTCACATCGCATCAAGTCATGACATCATCACATCAAGTCATGACATCATCACATCAAGTCATGACATCATCACATCGCCACACGTTGATGCATGCGTATCGTTAAATGACGTCACAATCTAACTTTAAACATCGCCATCATTACCACATAACTTGGCATCGTGACATCACGTGACACCATGGTATCACGTGACACCGTGACATCACGCGGCATCACGACATCACGTGACACCGTGACATCACGCGGCATCACGACATCACGTGACACCGTGACATCACGTGACACCGTGACATCACGCGACACCACGACATCACGTGACATCACGTGACGACGTGACGTCACGTCACGTGACACCACATCACGACATGACGACAACGTCACATTGATACATGCGAACTGTCAGATGACGCCAGACGCAGACATACGTCAGGTTCTCTTTATAAGACTTAAGCATCGCCCGGATCACCGTTGAAAATAAAATAAACAACAATAATAACAATAACAATAACAACAACAACAACAACATACATTATTATTAGTAGTAGTTGTAGTAATATTGTTAAAGGCGGCTGAAGCAGTAAAATTTCTAGTAGTAATAATGGTATAAAAAGCAATTTTAGCAGCAGAAGTAGTAGTATTGCTAATATTATTATTATAATTATTATTATTATAATAATTATTATTATTATTATTGTTGTTGTTATTATTAATATTATTGTTGTTGCTGTTGTTGTTGTTGTTGTTGTTGCTGTTGTTGTTGCTGTTGTTGTTGTTGTTGTTGTTTTTGTTTTTGTTTTTGTTGTCATTCTTATTATGATTATTATCATCGTCGTCATTACTATTATTGCTATTATTCCAGTGCAGTTTTTATAAACAAAGCCCTTGGATAAAGCCAATGAAGACATCTCATTCGGGAGACAGAGCAGGCATAGAAGTCTGACGAGTCTACGAACAAAAAAAGTACAATGACATCAATGAAAGTTACCATACATCAATAAGAGTTACCATAGCACATCAGCAGCGTCTGCATAACATCAACAACAAATACAGCAACAACAATAAATGCCTCAGGTACAACAACATCGAGAAGTAGTTGTTTACGGTAAAATAGTAGGACAACGACTACAACTACATCAATGAGGTGTACGTCAGTGAAATTTTCGTTTACAAACATTACAGGATGACGTCACTGAAGTATTCAAATCACCGACCAGACACATTTAAAAAAAACAAGCGTTAAAGATATTAACAGTTAAATATTGACGCAACCAACAAAAACAACAACAAAAACATCAACAACAACATGACCAACATCAACAATATCAACAACAACAAAAAAACAACAACATCAACAACATCAACAACAACATCAACATCAATATCAACAACAACAACATGACTAACATCAACAACAACATCAACAAAAACAACAACAACATCATCAACAACAACATCAACAAAACCACCAGGGCAAACTAAAGCTTATACAAATTAATCCCAAACTGCGCCATATCTCATGGGCTGTGGTGTTTTTGTGTTGAAGTTGCTGTAGTTGTTGATGTTGATGTTGTTGCTGTTGTTGTTGATGTTGTTGTTGGTGTTGATGTTGTTGTTGATGTCGTTGTTGTTGTTGTTAGTGCGGCTGTTGTTGTTGATTTTGTTGTTGGTGCTGTTGTTGTTGTTGGTGTTGTTGTTGTCAAAGATTTTTTTTGTGGCGTGGATAATTTTTGGTTTTTCATGTTTTTTTTTGAGCGTGCATTTTTGGTGACGATGATGATGACGATGATGATGATGATGACGATGATGATGACGATGATGATGACGATGATGATGACGATGATGATGATGATGACGATGATGATGACGAAGACGATGATGATAATAAAAGAGATAGACAAGATGACGATGGTGATGATGATTACAAGATAATGATCGTTATCAGCAGTTTTGAAACTTCAAAATAACTTTCCATCTCGTTATTACGATGCAGATTCTTTCAAATTAATTTGCATCATGCCCCATCATACCAGATAGAAGGACTGACAAAAAAATCAATGAACAGAACACACATACATTAACACGCACACGCACACACACACACACACACACACATTCACACTCACAAACACTTATATACTCACGTACACCCAAGAAACACATACAAACACATGTCAATTAATTACACAAATACATACACATTTACAAAAACCTAAAGACACAAATTCGAAGACTACACACACACACACACACACACACAAACAAACAAACACACTACACAAAGCCAAAATAGCCACCCACTCCAAATTCTATATATATACTCTAAAAACACCTACATTAGCACACATACACACACACATACATGCACACACATACACGCACACATGCACACATGTGAATTTGATACAACGAAATATTTTTTCAAAGGCAGAGACGAATACTCGGAGGAAATTTAAAATTCAATTTTGTGAACATAGGGGCAAGTGATTGCTGCTGCTGTTGTTGTTTCACTTTGCTTTGTTGTGCGCGCGTGTGTGTATGTGTGTGTGTGTGGATGTGTGTGCGTGAGTTTGTGTGTGTGGGGGCGTTTGTATCTCTGTTTGTTTGTTTGTTTGCCTGCCAGTCTGCCTTTGTTTGAGAGGTGCGTCAAGCAAACTCAAGTGCACTTCAAGTTCTTGACGGAAGAAAAATATAAATTGAATTGGAAGAAAATTATTTTTATACGCATTAATACAATTAATGAAAGATAATTGAAAGAAGAGTGTGAAAGAAAGAAAGAGTGAAACGGATGGGAAAAAAGAGATAGAGATAAAGAGAGAGAAAGTACCAAAAATGAGGGCTTGAAAAAACCCCAAAAAATTAAAAAAAAATAGATCGATATAAAGTGAATTAAAATAAACAAACAATTCAGTAATGTGATGATGATGTTGATGAAGATGATGACGATGACGATGACGACGATGATGATGATGTGATAAGAATTCTGATGTAGCGTAAAAACGATCTATCTCACACATAGCCTCGTTTATATTCATAGCGACATCTCTATCCTTATCATCATCATCATGATGTCATCATGACGTCATCATCATCATTATCGTCATCGTCGTCACTGCTATCATCATCATCATCATCATCACTATTATCAACTTTAACATTTTCAAACCAACAATATTTCAATATCAACAATCATCATCATCATCGTCAGTAGCATCATTATTACCATCATCGTCATCAGTATCATTATCAGCATCAGTAACATTATCGTCAACATCATCGTCACTCTTATCACCATAATCATTTGTATGCAATTGAATGTTTGCAATAACTTCACATGATTAATATGAAGCCGTCCGTTACATTTCTAACTCGATCCGCTGGACTAAATTTCTATTTTTAAAAACCAATAAACGATAAGAATAATAAAAAATAGTAATAATAATAATAATAATAATAATAATAATAATAATAATAATAATAATAATAATAGTAACACGTAAAGACGAAAGAAAAGAAGAATAATATCAATTATAATTTTTATTGTTGTGGTTTTTGGTATTATTGTTTCTCAATGGCAGTTTGATGGATACGTTTGAGTAAGTTTCAGAACAATTTTATGGCTACTGGTGATGCATATATTGTAATGTAAATATTTATTTTCACTTGTTTTTTCTCTCTTACATTCTTTCATTTTTACGTTCATTCATTCAATCATACGTTTTATTTCTCATTTACTCATTCATAGATTTAGTCATTCAATCATTCACTCATTCATTCATTCACTCATTCATTCATTCACTCATTCATTCACTAATTTAGTTATTTTTTCATTCATTAAATCAAGCTACAATTTTATTCTTACTAATAACCATGGCAATCTATCATAAGTTCACTTATTCACGTATTTAAATTATCACTCATTTATTCATACACTCATCGCTTCATTCACTCAAATATTCATTTATTCATTTAGAACTTTCCTTCTTTTATTTACTCACTCACTCCCGGTCTAAAAGCAATGCAGCTTCAGTGCCACTATCTTTTTCTCCATCTTCATCTTTTTATTCATCTTCTTCTTCATCCTCATCTTCTTCTTTACCATAATTCCATCATCTTCATCTTCTTCTCCATCATCATCTTCTTTTTCTTCTTCCTTGCCCTCTTACCAACCAGAAAGGAAATAATTTTTCTTTCGCCAGAGTTCAAAGTTGCCACTAAAAGATGCCATGACGTCATTGTCGGGCGTCTCGGCTCACGTGATCATTATTCATACAAAAATTTTTTAATTTTTTGATGCTGCTGCTGCTACTGCTTGTTCGGCGCGGTTTCCGTGCAGACAATTCAATTGAAATTTCAAACGCCGAAACGAGTTAATTGGAAGAACATTAAACGGTTGGACAGTTTTGTTAAACCAAATTTCCTTTTAAAGACCTACAAAAAGCAAACTTATATATATATATATATATATATATATATATATATATATATAGTATTGTGTAAATTCTACCGAATTGTTAGCAAAAATCAATTTAAAGTTTGTCTGTTCAATTTTCCTTACTAGAATTTTCGGAAATTTCTGTGCGGGTCAACTACATTCGTGTATTGGCGTTACGAACACTTCACTATCAAGACGTCTCACGATGCATACACAAAGAGGAGCCATCAAATATCACTTGCAATCTTCAAATGCAACTCCAATAACCCGTCAAATTCTTGACAACAACACACAAATTATTCATCAAAACACCAACACAGTACATCTAAACAGAAGCTGTCCTAATAGATATCAATGAACCTCGAATGAACATCCAACAAAGAATGATAACATCATTTCCAACTCGACGCTTTGATACTAACTTCAACAACAATGAAGGACAAAGGACTGACAACAACAAAGATGAAGAATACGACACCAACTTTTTCACTTCATAATTCACTTTGCTAAAAAACTAACTTTGGTTTGAATAAAGAAACTGTATAAACCAAAGCTGCCCTGCCAAACTAAGTAATGCACTTTGCTAAAAAACTAACTTTGGTTTGAATAAAGAAACTGTATAAACCAAAGCTGCCCTGAAGATGAGTCATGAAAAATCGAAATAAGGCATCATGTACATGATGAATTCGGATAACAACAGCTTCATTAAATTTTCATGATGGGCTTGGATAATTTTATTTTCAACAATTTGTACACTTTCCAGAAAATTCAAGCAAAAAATATTGAAAAGACAAACTTTAAATTGTATAATACTGTATAAATATACATGTATGTATATAGGCAGAGCTGCATTACAAAGAGTAAGTGAATGTGTAAAATAATGTGTGTG